CAGAACTTGTGTTGTAGGTACTAGACAACTAATAGAATACTTATGGTAACTTAAAACCGCCAGAAACTAATCTTCATAGCTTTGCTGAATATAATATAGAATCTATTCGTGACTGACATTCTGATTATTGAAACACCGATAACAAACCGAAAAGGAACACGGTACCCATTTGACGTCAACCTGTTACAATTCTTACAAAAATAAGTAGGTACTTAGAAAGATACGATACGGTCTGTAAATTGAATAGCAGTTTCAGACAACCGTCAACAAAGTGTTTATCAGCTTAGCGAATTATATATAACTGATTATATACATTTATATTAGTTATATGATTTAAAGCGATGCCGGCGATAAACGGCACTTAAGGCAAAGATACCGGCCTCTGAGGGCATGATAAGAGGCATAAATATAAATAAATGGCTGCACTGCCTAATGGCGCAATAGTGTTGTAAAGATACCGCTATCGACAGCTCTCGATATTAAATGCAATAGTCTTATTCCGCGGTGCCGCTTGCGTGGACCATATAATTACACCGATCACAGATAATGTACGAGTAGAGCGCTTGATGGCACGCCGATGCGGACAGATAAAAAATATACGTTAATCTATACATAATTCATTTTTAATATTGTACTCTGAATTTACATAATTTGCGATAAATACGAGTACTTATATATAATGTGTTCTGCGAGTATTATTATTTCGTTTATAAATTTGTTATTATATTATTTGTGAACGTTATTTAGTTAATATAATACTAGAGAGGGAAGGGATCTATTATACAAATTGTATGTATGGCCATCCATACATACATATGTTTGTTACTCTTTCACGCAAACAACTGAATGGATTTTGATGAAATTTTACAGCTTATTAGAAAAATTATATTCTAATATATTTAAGGATGTATTATGAATATTTCTTTTGATTGGGAGAGTAATGAGTTGTAATTATTAATATGTATATATTAAATATTTATTAAAATAATAAATGTATGCAAAATTAATTAGTAAATGTATTTCTTTGAGTTTTTTTTGTTTATTATACTAAATTCAATATGTTATTTGATGATTCTTATCGAATTTCTAATTGATTTTTCATTCAAGAACTTCTTATTACCTACTAATGATACATAGAGTATAATAAATAATTGATCCATTATACAAACTAAGTCTAAGATTTTTAAGCGACAACATATAAACCAATTCGGTTTGTAAGCTTCTAGGGTCGCCAAAAGTTATCTTTCTATAATATTTATACAAAAACAAATATATATTTATTTTTTTATTCATAGCAGGAACAAAAACCAGAAAAGTATTTTATATTTCTGATTGTTGCTCCAGTAAAGGCATTTCCGACAAGAAATAAAAAAATTAAACCGTAGTGACGAGAGCAAGCTCGCTGACATGTTAGATAAAAAAAAAAGCATGGAGGGCATGTTCTCCACAACGTCAAGGGCTGTATCTGGGGGGCAAGGGAACTGTTAGTAACGTGGTCTAATAACTGCATTGCTAGCAATGTGAGCAATCATAATAAATACCTGTTGAATTTGACACGATGGGCTAACTGACCTAGCCTCATGTTTATCTATCCTCCACTGATAGAGATTCATTTATTGCCAACATAACACAACAAATTCCAAAGAATACACAACATAAGAAATAAAAAATAACATACAAAGTTGGCAATAGGAGCTGTCTCAGCTGTTGCTGATATAAGTACAATCTCAATGAGGCGCACCTATACTGTGCTGGTTTTTAGGTCCCATTACTCATTAGAAAAACACATCTGGTGCCCCGCCAGCGTAAACCGTTAGCGCAGGCGTGGGCCATTATCATCCATTAAAAAAACGGCTGCTTCTGACTACCCCATCTAAGGTTACAGGCGTGACGATATAATTGTTTTATTTACAAACACAGAGCAGCCCTAGACGTCAGATTCGGCGGCTTTGATGTGAGTCGTGTGATAAGCGACTATTTGTTGATGTTATCGGCAATGTTTGTCGTTTTGTGCGCCTACGCACTATCGCTGCAACACACTTCTCCGTTTATGGAATTGCCACGTTTTTACGAGGATCTTGATAGTTGTCTGTTTGTATCTGCGGCTTGTGAGGCCAAAATAATCTACTGAGTGGTGCGCCGAAACCGAGGTTTATGCCTATAGTGTATACATCAGGTTGTTACTGAGATATATTTAGAATACCTATAAGTAACGCGTGCTTGAATGTTTTACGAGTGTGGGTTTACGCAGTGTAAATAAGTTGGGTTTTATAAAAAAAAACTTATTTTTATGTAACTGGAAGAACGAGCTGATTGGCTCACCTGACTGTAACAGTCATAATTCATGAAATAGTAACACAGTTATCATGAAGGTAGCTCTCATGTATTGATGTCTTTGATTTTTTTTTTGTTCTTATCTATCTTGAAATATGACAAACATAGAATACTACAGCTCCAGGGAAGCTTCCAGGAATAGGAAATGCCGGCAGGAGGCGATATTCTGAGTAACTAATTTCTGGCTAAATAACTTACGGGAATGATTTGGCTGTTGCAAAACCTTGCTCTTTCAAGAATATAAATTTCCATGATTTTGTCCAACTTCCAATAGAAGGGGATTGTTAGTAATGTCGTGTAGTGAATCCATTGCTAGCAATGTACCGTGGCAGATTAACCCCCTGGAAACTATTCGAATAAGTTCCTGGTGAATTTACCACGATGGGCTAACTGACCTGACCTCATGCTCATCTTATCATCCTCTACCGATGCCCCGAGAGCATAATCCGTTAGCGCAGGCGGGTGCACCATTCCATTACCTTTTTCTTTCGGACTACTCTAATGCTGTTGGCCGCAGCTGGCCTTTACAGCTTCACCGGACGTTAGGGGGCGAGTGCAGATGGCACTCCAAACCCGCGGAAGAACTTATGGAGCGGCTGAAGGTCAACTCCTGCCTGACGGATACGACTTTAGTCTGAGGGCTAGGGGTTCGGCTCAGGCCGTCGTAATATCGATCCCCGTTTGAATTGGACGGGGGAACGATCGGAGGGGGGGGGCTCCATTATCATCCATAAAAGAAAACCTCCAACAGGAGTGGAAATGAAAGAAAAAGATTATCATCCATACTTTTTGCTATTCTAACCAGGACTGTTAAAATATAAAGAACGTTTCGCAGAAATCATAATAAAATATATTAACTCAAAAAAAGTATATACTGAAATCGACTTAAAGTTTTAAGTGTAGGGTTGATTTTCCAAATACTCGTATTCCATTGTCAAAGGAACTACGTCTCCAACGTCCGCCATAGGGAATGTGGGAACAAGCATCAATGAAATGCAAAAAAAAACTATGAACAATACGGTAGCAAAAGTCAATAATGCTCCCCCAACCCCAACTAGACAGATAATAGGGACATACACTACCCGTGTGTATTACAAATCCAATAACAGTAAATCATAAAAGCCATTGAAATCAGTGGGATATCTGCTTGTATTAAAAGGGTGAACAACAATAATTATAAATTACCACCCCTGATACAAGTACTCATGAACCCGCGACCCCTTGGGCTAGTTGCCGGCAATGTTATGTTAAAACATATAAAGCGGCCCGTACATTTCATTTCATTTTCAACCGACTTAAGAAAAAGGGGTTCGTAATTTAGCAATTTTTTTATGTAAGTATGTTACTTCTGAACTACTTTGACTGATTTATTTTGTTACTCAAGTAATTATTTATTATATTTACTTATGTTAATTTTCATTGAAAAATTCCATTCAAAAATGAAATTCGGAATAACATTTTTTTAAAATAGCAACACACATGTTTTTATATTAAATTTTTTTACTATTCTATTATTTTTGTAACTGTTTTATTAAGGAGTCAAATCAAATCAATAATAATTCATTCTTATAGCACATTTTAGCCACTTGAACGACAAATTTTTATATCTTTTCCTGACCATCCAGTTCAGTATACAGATTCAATGGAGAAAAACTGGCAAGAAACTCAAGTTAATTAAGAAATATTCATTCAAATAAGCGTAGGTATATTCTTGCGCGTCATCTACTAAAGTGTGTACCTACTTATTAGTATTATTTGTCTATAAGTTATACGCAAATAATACTAGGTTATATAGCTAACGTTCGCTCAAGTGCTGAGTATAAGTTGATATACTTTTTAACCGACCACAAAAACGGAGGAGGTCCTCAATTAGAATGTGTTTTTTTTTAAATGTTTGTTACTTCATAACTCTGACGGCATGAGTTATGAAGTTAATAAACCGAAAGAATAATTTCACATAAAAAAGTTTTTTCAAATCGTTTTATTAATGATGATGACGTAATGAATTAATACAGTTTCAGGATTAGTCCTATTTTATTTTGAGTTTAAAGTCGGTTTTTTAAAGAAAATTATATCGTAATGGGACGATAGGTAAGTACTAGGAGTGCATAAAATACAAATAAATATTATCTACTATCTAGAGGTACACTAATTGTACCTCTAGATAGTAGATAATATTCCTTTTCAGAGGTACAATTAGAACTATGTTTAGGTCTATCGTTAATAAATAATTACATTAAATGATGTAATAATTAGTTGACACAATTATTCATGATCTTTAGAGGGTAGTATGACATTCTGTATTAAATAAGTATGATTCCAATATTTTCAAAATTCTTAACTATATTCCGAAATACTTATTTATGATAAAAATTGGGGAAAACTCATATTTCTTTTATATTAACCTATCTGATTTATTACCTATCTGATTGCAAACGGTTAGCAGTCCGCATAAGGTCACATTTTAAGGTCGGTAGAAAATAAGTATCAAATAAAAATACCTACAAGGAATTTCAAATGATAAACTGAAGTCAGAATTGATAGCAAACAATCTTACAGAACGCAACAAGAGAATTTAATAATATAAAACGAGAATCGAACCCGAAACTCGGAAAGTGGTTATTTACCACGGCGCTATGGAGGTTGAAATATCGTTGAATACTTACAGCTTCGGCTGCTTCCTTCTGATCCTTGTGTCCCATCAGATTAGGCATCGCGGTCCAATTGTATCTCAAATCCTGGCAAAGTGGTAGCTGGATCCTTTCGCATTTTCCACCTTCTACCTCCTCCTGGGCAGCAACCACTAACCACGAACAGAGCAGCAGAAAAATAATCCGAGCCATTGTAATTAATTCACTGTATTATAACACTTATTGTATGTCATATTATCGATACTCAGTCACAAATCCACTATTAGTAAACACTGATTCGTAAACATATTTGTTTTTTAAATCGAAGCGAACGTGCACACTCGTCTATCGCTCGGAACAGACTGATTCGAATTTCGAATGCGGCGCGGCGTTACAAAGGCAAAGGAAGAAACCGGTCGGCCGGCCGGTGCATTCAGAACATGCATATGTTCCGATAAAAGGTCTCAACGCATGAACAGGGCATTAAGAATAAAAGAAAAAAAAAGAAAAAGGGCCTAATTCGTGTACAGCTCACTGCAATCAGTGGAAGTAATTTTGTCTGTCTCGCTCTGTTGATAGTTGGCGAGAAAGGGACATAACAGACAATGAAGAACGTATAAAATTAAGTGTATCTGCCCATGGGGATGGATTTTATTTTACAAAATTGCCGCAATAAAAGTGTTGAGTAATTGAGAGGTTCGAAAGTTTTATTACATAGATTTAGAACAGACGAAGCTGCCTATCTAATTCATTTTATATAATCCTGAGTCACTTAATGGAATTAAATGGTAAAAAACACTTTAGAAGATCATGAGAATAGTGTCTAGATTCTACGGTATATAAAAGATTTATTTTTAACATCTTCCGATTCCAGTTAAGACTGGAGGAAATATTTTTTAGTGTAATATAATTTACGGGTAGAGCTTCAAGTTTTTAATATTTATAAAGACATACCAAATAAATACAAATTAAGAGATATTTAAATATAATAAAATGTAGTCTGAACAAGAACCTTTTCTTTTTATCTCTCTCATAAGCAAGATAAATATATAAGTTATGAAACAACCTAAATAATTTAGAACTTTACAATATATACGATATTGAAATACTAGTAAACAATAATTTATTTCTTTTTATTGTGTTTGCTCTAATGTTCAGAGTTATTAAATTTAAATTAGTTTTTGTCAAATTACAAGTTCTTAATTGAATCTTCATATTATTCAACTTAACCTTAATGGTAGAGTTAGCTATCTAACTCTACCATGAAACATAGAGTTTTAGACATTATGTCAGCCATAATGATACTTATGGTATTCTAAGTAATTACACAAATAAACCATAGAGTGCTAAGCCTAATTAGCATGGCTATGTTTATAACAAGCCTATAAAGGGAGATGTAATAAAACTTTGCTCCTAACAAAATGTAATATACACGTTTGCTGGATAGTAATACGATGTTGTCGGTTGGGACCAGTGTTTCCCAACCTTAGCCTCTAAAATTCTTTTACTTAAAACCCCCCGTACGTAACATATATAATTTATAACATTTAAAAATTATTTTTTTAATTTAAGAAATAGATTTCAGGAAGAAATCACTAGGAAATTGTTAATGAAACAGTATTTGTAAATTCTCAAAAGATATCATGAAAAATTGACATTTTATATAAAATTTCATAAATAGTTCATTTTTAAATTGCTACCTGCGGATCGTGGGCCCCACATTGAGAAACACTGGTTGAGACGATGCGAATCCGAGATGGGTCGCTGGTATAAAATATGTCATAAAAAATCGTCTCTACATTTGATATTGGATAATGTACATGTTAACGTCACACAATATAAACTAAAATGGAATAATATATTTTAGTTATTATATTTTTTAAGGTTTGTAGCTTTAGGTTCTTTGTTATTTAATTACGTTATTATATATTTTTTCATAATAACGAGACTACAAACTAAAATGTCAGATGAAATGCTGTAGGTGTTAATAATGTGATCAAAGACCTAGAACTCATTATATAGGTTATCATCAACTTTATAGCCTCAAAAGAAGACAAAACAATGCTATCTTTGCGTCACGGTGTACCGAATATGTGAGTGAGATATCTGATAGACCCTTCCGCTCGTGCCTTTATCTTTTGGTCCGGCATCCCAAGTAGAATACACAATTAGGCCCCTTCATTACATCACTCCAATAACACCTTTAATATCCGTAACCTGTCAACGCAATAGAAACACTATATCTACATAAACAGAAGTTATATTTAAAAACAGGATAATATATCTTTCTAAAATATCTTATCCAAAGTAAGTTGGTCCCACCGATTAAGGGACGCTATTTGATATTGAAAGGAATGGAAGGTTCATTGTATACTGGAGCGGTGGTATGAATAGTTGCATTGTAGGAGTAGGACGGAGCGAGCCGCCGTCAAAGACGCCGCTTGCAGTGCGCGTACGCAGGCCGGACGCCGGTGGAATGCCTAATTAAGGACGCATGCGTGGACTGTAGGGTGGAGGTGGGTGGTACAGACACACGTCAACAGCGGAATGTAAACTAAAGGACGTAAAAAAATTGTAAATTAATAAATTCACAGTGATTTGCTATAATTTTCATTGGTTCTAAATTTTTATTTATAAAAATCGAAACATTAAAATATGATAGAATAAAATAAATGCGAAGAAAAAAAATAAGGCGAGTTAACGGAAAATAGACTATACACAAAAAATCTTTAATTTAATTAATTTGACTTCCTACATAAATAATTAACCTCAAAATCAAGGTGTATCTTGTAGGCAGTGTGTACCAAAAGATACTGGTACACTACTCAATAATTAACTTAGGTAGAGTCATTAATATTTAGACAGAGTTGAGTGATTTTGCTAGAGTTAGCGGGATGTCAAATAATAATACAGCTTCAAAGGTTTCATACTCCTCCGAAATGGCTTGACCGATTTTCATGAAATTTTATGTGCATATTTAGTAGATCTGCGAATCGGCTACTATTTTTCATACTTTTCTTATTTATAATGTGACATTAAAAATTACATACAACCCTAAATTTCAACCTTCTATCACCAACCCCTATTGTTTAATAGCGAAACGTTTGCTGGATTACCTAGTATTATTAGAAAAAGGTATACGCTTCCGCTCCCTCCTGTGTATAGACCACAACACAATTGCACACAATTCGGAATCATAATTAAAACGTCATACATCGCGTTCAGCGGCTACGATTGCCGCTGACGCCACGTCTCGATGCAAATCACATTGTATCCTACGTGAATATAATAACGTATTATCTACAAGTGAATATTGAATATTGATTCAATAAGCTTTATTGATTTGCCGACTAATTTGGCAGTCAATGGGAAACGCCTATGCGGTATTGTTAACTTCAAACAAAAAGTCCGATAGCCAGCGATCATCGCTATTTTGGTAAAATTACTGTTATTACCGAGGTATACTATATACAAAGTTATCTGTGTATTTGGCAGCCTAAATAGACCAGAGAGACAATAGAGATGTCCTCTGACAATTTCAGTTTTTTTTTTACTTGCTTTTGGCCGCAGCTGGCCTTTACAGCTTCACCGGACGATAAGAGGTGAGTGCAGATGGCACTCCAAACCCGAAGAAGGACTTATGAAGGCTAACTCCTGCCTAAGGGCTATACGACTTTAGACGTATTCGTCAGGCTGAAAGCACCGCTAGGGTTTCGATCCTTGGCTCAGATTGTCATAATTTCGAACCCCGTTTGAATTGGACGGGGAATCGATCGGAGGGACGACCAGCTTTTTCAGCTACCAAACACCTTGTTTTTGTAAGTTGTTTCTATTCGAGGTCAAAATGTGGCAGTGAAGTTACAGGATATGGAGCCATGACGTCTTAGTGCTCCAGAATAGCAATTTATAAGGAGTACTACGGGAATCCAGGGTAGATTTAGTAGAACAGCCTCCACGCGGTCCTCCCTCTGTATCAATCATTATTACGAGAGGTTTGGCTTCAGTTTTTTTGACCGGCCGCCTGCCTTTCGTCAACCCTTCTTGGGCTTCTGAATCAATATCGAATGTGTGTGTGTGCGTATGTGTGAATTTTGTTAAATGCCTGTGCGAAGCCGGGGCTCGCCGATAGTCATCTATAAAGATAACAAAAACCTGCTTGTCTGCTTGTTGTAGAGCGTGTCTATAATGTAAATTACGCACATCATAATAAAAGGTCATATAGGGATGAAGGATGAAATATTACTCCAGTTGGCTTTTACCATTAAACATATCATTAGGCGACAATAAACATAATGAATGATGTACATTAAGTACATATTGGGAATATTGAATAGTGGTAATGATGTATGAAGAAAACACGTCGGTTACTGGACATGTGAGATAATGTTTTATTGGCAATTGTAATATGCAACAATAATTTTTGAACGTATTGTCTGGACCTTTTAGATTATGGGGAGCACAAGGCATTCCAACATATACTCCAGCGCCAACAAAACAAGATCTTAAGAAGTTGCACAAGTACTATGGTACATAATTAACAATGAAATTCACGAGTAACTTGAAATAGAAACAGTGAAAGAGGAAATTCTGAGTTTGGCACCCAAATACAAGAAACGGTTGAGCCATCACCCTAACGAACTTGCTCGACAACTCACCATAGAACAGTGTATGAGATGCAGTCCTGGAATTATAAATAGGCCATATAGGCCGCAGCCTAAGGGCGGCAGCGGACTGGGGGTGGCAGATTTCAGTGGGAGGACGGCTACTCTATATCAGAGGACAAAAGTCAAACAATGAAATTAGAGAAAATTATTATTTTAGAAAGGTACATGGGGCGGGGAAAATAAAGTGGCCTACACTCATAAAATATATAAATCCGGCGCTGGTAAGATGTCTAAAACGGCATCATATCCTGGAACTAGAAGACCGGCAGTAGCTCTAGAGATGAGTAGAAGTTTCCAATGGGAAGCCACTCTTCATGACAACACAGAACAGATTCACTAATAGTCTGAGGACTGATCGTAATTATACTCGGAGAAAAAAAAATAAACATATCATTAGGTGACAATAAACAGAATGAATGATGTACATTAAGTACATATTAGGAATATTGAATAGAAGTAATTATGTATGAAGAGAACACGACGGTTATTGAACATGCAAGAAAATGTTTTATTGGCAATTTTAATATGCAACTGCCCGGAACTGTTGACGGAGTGAAAACTTGTTTGTTGCAAATGACATCGATTTGTAGATATTGCAGGACTTGTAGGGATCGAATGATATGATAATGTTGAAGGTATAATGCTGGTACTGATCGAATGATATGATAATGTTGAAGGTACAATAAATCTTTTGTACATTTTTATATAG